CCGTGTCCCCCCGGCCCCTCCCGTGCCCCCCGGCCCCAGCAATGCCGCAGGTCCCCCCTGTCCCCAGGCCAGCGCAAGGGCTCCTCCTGCAGCCGCGGCTCCAGGACGCAATCACCGACCGGTGCATTATTTACGGGACACCTCACGACCCTCAGATCTCCGGGTTTGGGTGTTTTTTTAAACCCTGCTGTAGAGAGTGAAGTATATTTTCACCAGTGTTCTCCGTTTGTACAGCTTTAAGTGCCAGGTAGTGGGTAGCCTTGTGTTCCCAGAGGTCCAGGACTGCTCCTCTTTCCCTTCTGGATGTTGCACACTGCATTCCGTTGATTTTATTTTTTTTTCTTTTTTTTTTTTTTAAAAAAAAACCATATCCAATATTTAAACCACCAGAGGTTCTTTTGAAACTGTCCTGACAGAAGATGCTGTACATAGATTTTGCTACGTGTTGTAACTTTCTGAAATAGTTAGAACTCCAATCCCTTTGGTATTTTTATGTGAATATTTTCAAAGAGCCAGAACTCCTGGTGATATGATTTGATAACGGGACGATGTATATTCACAGTTCAGTCTCTGCCCAATGCCTATGTGCTATTCCTAAAATAAAGCTACTGCCTTCTGCCTCCTGACTGCACAGTCTTCTGTCCAGAAGTGCTGCTGGTGATGTGTGAGGAATTCTGCACTTGTTAATCCTGGCTCTGACACCTGCAGGGTCTCACCTGGCTGGGCTGGGGCTGGTGTGGAGAAGAACCTTCCTGCACCACAGCATCCAGGCTGGAGGGATCCAAATGAGCAGCAAATTCTTAAAACAGTACGGATTTTTAACTCCAGTCTTCAGATGAAAACATCTGATGAACTGTATGAGCCAGTGAATTGTTTCCCTCTGAAAAAGAATTCTTGGCTGGGGCTGAGTTATGTCCTGGGGCGTTTATCTCCCGTGGCACACGGACAGACAGACAGGAGCAGCTCCCTATCAGGTGCTGTGCTTCAGCTGGTTCACAGCAGCCTCCCGGAGCTCCCCGGGGGCTGGAACAGCTCCGTGACAGTCACCCACAGTGTCCCTGGCTGGGCACGTCACCTCCTTCCCTGGAGGCACCGAAACCACCTGGAAATGCCGCGCAGGACCCGGGGCTGCGCTCCAGGGAGCAGGGAGGGTGGGTCAGGCGACCTGCAAGGCTGCCGTGCAACCTGACCCATCCCGAAATTCCATTTGAAGTGTTCCGACTCCTCCTGCCCCCAGGGACACGGCTGTCACAGCTGCAGGGCCGGGCTGAGCCCATAACCCGGCAGGAATGGTGTCCCCGAGCCCCATTCCCCATTCCTGAGCCTACAACCCAGCAGGAGTGGTGTCCCCAAGCCCCATTCCCCGTTCCTGAGCCCATAACCCAGCAGGAATGATGTCCCTGAGCCCCATTCCCCGTCCCTGAGCCCATAACCCGGCAGGAATGGGGTCCCCGAGCCCCATTCCCCATTCCTGAGCCTACAACCCAGCAGAAATGGTGTCTCCAAGCCCCATTCCCCATTCCTGGGCCCATATCCCAGCAGGAATGGTGTCCCCAAGCCCCATTCCCCATTCCTGAGCCCATAACCCGGCAGGAATGGTGTCCCCGAGCCCCATTCCCCATTCGTGAGCCTACAACCCACCAGGAATGGTGTCCCCAAGCCCATAACCCAGCAGGAATTGTGTCCCTGAGTCCCACACTGAGCCCATAACCCAGCAGGAATGGTGTCCCTGAGCTTATAACCCAGCAGGAATGGTGTCCCCAAGCCCCATTCCCCATTCCTGAGCCCATAACCCAGCAGGAGTGTTGTCCCTGAGCCCATAACCCAGCAGAAATTATGTCCCCAAGCCCCAGTCCCCATTTCTGAGCCCATAACCCAGCAGGAATGGTGTCCCCAAGCCCCACTCCCCATTCCTGAGCCCATAACCCAGCAGGAGTGGTGTCCCTGAGCTTATAACCCAGCAGGAATGGTGTCCCCAAGCCCCACTCCCCATTCCTGAGCCCATAACCCAGCAGGAATGGTGTCCCCAAGCCCCATTACCCACGTACCCACAGCACCCACAATGCCCCCTGCACAGCCCCGCTCTCCTGGCTCTGGTAACTCTTCTGCACACACGAGGCAATTCCTGCACACACGAGGCAATTCCTGCCCAGAGCTGGCACCTTTGAGCCTCGCTCAGGATTCCCGTGTCAGCCCTGCCCAGGATCATCCTCACAGGAAAGGCTGTCCTTGGAAAGGAAATATCAACTCGGGCAGGGCAGGGCAGCCCTGGCTGCTCCTGCTCCACGGGTGCCACTTCCACCCTCTGAAATGGTGTCCCTGGAAATCCCAGCTTACATTCCAAACCTCAGGTGATCCAGGGGTTTCGTTCTTTTGCGCAAGAAGCAGAGGGGAAAAGACCTCAGAGGGGAAAGGAGCAGCTTGAGCACAGTCAGGGTGGGTCACAGCTGGACACATTTGCACCAGGCAGAGTGGATCCACCTGGGAACCTCCCTCTGAGTGCCTTGATTGTGGCTTGAAGGGCCACGGTCTGTAATTATTCTCCAGGTGCCATGAAAGATGCCAAAGGGACGAAGGAGGGTCTCAGCTTTGGGCTGGCAGGGTGGTAAGTCAGGGGGAAAAGGGGGCACAGACTGGGAGGCAGCACAAGTGCTGCATTTGCAGGATCCACCTTTAGGAAAATTTGGGGTTTCTAAATCATAAGAGATCAAATGAATGCATCTCTAATTGCAAGAATCAAAGAGCTACAGTTATGTTCATCAGAGCTGCGACTGGGAAACAATGAGATAAAATACAGACACTGTTTTTTTCACAGAATCATCAAGTTTGCACTGGAAGGGACTTTGAAAATCATCCAACCCTAACCCCTGCCATGGCAGGGACACTTTCCCCTGTCCCAGGCTGCTCCAAGCCCTGTCCAGCCTGGCCTGGGACATTTCCAGGATGGAGCAGCCACAGCTTCTCCTGTGCCAGGGCCTCCCCACGCTCACAGGGAAGAATTTATTCCCAATATCCCAGCTGAGCCTGCTCCTGGCAGGCTAAAATGCCCTTAGGGGTCACCTGCAGTAAAATCTGTTGGTAACATCAAGGCTGGGACATGGATTAGGCTTGTGAGGGCCCAGTGCCCATTGTCCATCAGGCTCGTGGGTCACCTGCCAGCCAGGGGCTCCTCAGCAGTGCTGCTGGGGTCTGGGCACCCCAATTCCAGGGATTGATGAGCTGCTCCTGCCACGGTCCCTCTTCAGCCTCACAGTGTGCTTGGCCCTGATGGTTTGTCAGGGATTTCAGACAGATGATGCTGAAGACAAAACTCCAGCCAGTTCCCAGGGAGGGACTCGGTTCTGGGATTAACCTCCAGCCTCAGCAGCGTGCCACAAACCCCAGCCCACGGGTGGATCCTGCGCTCTGCCAGGCTCAGGCACAAACACAGACACAGGACTGGCTGTCAGCTCCTCCCTGTGCCACGGGCTGTCAGCCCCAGAGGACATCAGCCCTGATTTTTTATTGTTCTGTGTCCCTTGCATAGCCGCACAGATTGCTTAAGAGAATGGCACTCCGTGGAGTTTGACCCGGGAGCCCTGATAGTGAAAATAATGCACTTCTCACCAGAGCCACGGGAGACCAAAAGAGTAACTTCGGTCAATTAGTTTAACTTTGACTATAAATATTCCTTCTCGTTCCTTGTGACCCTGTTAACAGCTCCGCTGGCAAACCCCGATTCTCTGGCAATATTTAAGCTGCCTGTCAGTTGGCAGAGCCCTGCTGGTGCCCGGCGCGGGGAGCAGAATAAGACCCAGCTGAGCGCAGTAAGTTCCCTTTCGGCTTCTACCTCGAGTCGGGAGCTCCGTCGGGTTCGGGGCTCTGCCGGGCTGCCCGGGGCCCCGGCGAGCCGTGGTGGCCGGAGGAGGATGGACCCGGGAATGCTTTAAAATCCCCCCGAGGAGGCGTTTAGCGGGTGCCGCCGGGTTGCTCGGAGCCACGTGGGCTGCGCTGCTGATACAGGGCCGGCTCGGCGGCTTCATTCCCATGCCACGGCCGTCCCTTCCTCACAATCTCTGGCGAGGAAAGCGCCGCCGCCTGTGCCAGGCACCGGGGGACAGCGGGCTGTGAGCTGAATTCACAAAACGGGCAAAATTTCCACTGGGCCACGGCGGAGCAGCGATCTGGGGATCCGCGGCGCTTTCCTGCCCCGGGAGGAGCGGGAGCGGCACCTGCGGCGCTGCGGACGCGTCCCTGCGGGGCATCCGCGCTCCCTGCCCTGCCCCGGGCCCGGAGGGGCTGCGGGGCTGGCCCCCTGCCCGGCACCTCTGCACGGACAGACGGACACGGCTGTGCCCTGTGTACACACCTCTGCAGGGACAGACGGACAGAGCTGTGCCCTGCCCGACACCTCTGCAGGGACAGACGGACAAACACGGCTGTGCCCTGCCCAACACCTCTGCAGGGACAGACAGACAGAGCTGTGCCCTGTGTACACACCTCTGCAGGGACAGACAGACAGACACGGCTGTCCCTGCCCGACTCCTCTGCAGGGACAGACAGACACGGCTGTCCCTGTATGCACACCTCTGCAGGGACAGACAGACAGAGCTGTGCCCTGTGTACACACCTCTGCAGGGACAGACGGACACAGCTGTCCCTGTGTGCACACCTCTGGGAGGGACAGACAGACACAGCTGTCCCTGTGTGCACACCTCTGGAGGGACAGACGGACACAGCTGTCCCTGTGTGCACACCTCTGCAGGGACAGACGGACACAGCTGTCCCTGTGTTCACACCTCTGCAGGGACAGACAGACAGACACGGCTGTCCCTGCCCGCCCCTCTGCAGGCTCAGCCCCGCTGTCCCTGCGCTGTGACCCTGGGCGCACTCGGGGGATCCCGGGGGTCCCTCCCAGCTCAGGAGGTTCCTTGATCCCGGGGTCCTGTGCCCTGCTCTGGCTGGAAGGAGCCAGGGGGCCGCTGGAGGAGTGGGAGCAGGGTGAGCAGCTTCCCGGGCTGACATACCAAACCCTGTTTTTCCTTTCCGAGTTAGAGGTTAAGCGTGCCAGTAAAAACTCAGCAGCAGCCAAGACACATCGGCCCTTAAGGAGGTAAGATAGCAGCGGTCTGGCCACCAGGGCCCTGCATCCCTGCCAGGAGGGAGCTGGGATCCAGGGGGCTCATAAAGCATGGAACAGGCTCTGCTGGGGTGCTGGGTGTCCCCAGTGCCAGCCTGGTGCTGGCACCACCGCCCTCAGCCAGATCACGGCTCTCCACCAGCTCTGGCACCTGTGCTGGAGGCTGCAGAGTCAGGATGCAGCTCCCAGCTGTGGGAAGCAGGTGCTGGGATGGTTCCTGCCCCTGGGAACTCTTTATTTATTGCCCGACCTTTGGTAAAAGGATGAGCCCGGTGGTGCTGCAGGACACAGGGCAGGCCTTGCCCTCCTCAGCCTCCAGCTCCTCACCCTGCTGCTCCCCTGGCTCACCCACCTGGGCAGCAGCACGCTCTGGGCAAGTCCCCAGGCCACAGGCGAGCTGAGGGCAGGTCCAGCTCAGCTGCACAGCTGGACAGAGGTGTTGTGGAGCCCGTGGGACAGGAGAATGCCCCGGCCCGGCTCTGCTGCCCTCGGCTCAGAGGAAGAACTCGTCCGACCGCTTGTGGTGCAAGCGTTCCGTGCCGGCTGTCCCGGCACCTCGCCACACCTCCCGAGCCTTGTGGCAGGGGACAGCCTATAAGTGTCCCCTGAGAAGAGCTGGAGAGGCCAAAGGAGCCGGCCAGAGGCGCGGGAAGGGACCAGCAGACACCTGGCACAGGTGTGCGGTGACACCGGGGCTGGTGGCTGCTCTCCCCGGGGAACCCTCTCCTCGGCTCAGCAGGGTAAGAGGAACGATCCCAAACCTGCTCTGGGCGGCCCCGAGGGCTCCCTGGGGACCCACTGTGGCCACTGCTGAGCCAGGGAGTGCCCAGGTGGCCTCGGCTGCCTCTCACCTCCTGTCTGCTCTCGGAGTGTTCCTGACTGAGGCAAGGAGGAAACGGGGAGGAACGGCATTAATTCAAACACCCGAGCAACCTCCCTGCCTGGCCTTCATCCTGCCCCTTCTGCCAAGGGGCAGCAGCAGGGGATGCTCCAGGGAGCCCTTCAGGGACCCCACAGTGCTGCCACACCTCACCCTCAGGCGATTCTGGAGAAGAAAATGGGGTTTTGGATTCCTTGGTGGCACATTGCCAGTCTCTGTTCCTGACAAGGAGCAGGGGACGGAGTTCCCTGGCTCAGGAGGAGACCCAAGTGCTCTGCACAGGGCTCGAGCTCTTGCTGTGGCAAAGGAGGAGGAAATAGCCCATGAACTGCTGGGGCTGTTCATGTGCCACCACACTCTGCTGGCTTGTGAGGGACACATTTCTGGCAGCAGCTCCTCTCTGGGGCCAGTCCTGCCCTGCTGCCAGGCTGGCTGTAACCCCCAGCTCTGCTCCCTCCCTCTGCTGCTCCGGCTGCTTTCACCTTCTCTCTGATTCCCCCAATTCTCACCAGTCAGAAAAGCACCCAGGAACTGCACCAGCCCCGCTGGCAGCTCCATCACAGCAAGGGACTCCTGCCTGGGGCAGATGCCAGAGATATCTGGAGCCTGCCCAGAGCTTGGCAGCAGCTCCTCAGCACCCTGAGCTCCTCAAAGCCCAGTCCCTCCCGCCTGGGGCTCTCCCTGGCCATGCACCCATCCTTCCACAGGCGTGTGCGGCAGGACAGAGGCGTGCTCAGGAAGCCATGGAGCCCACCAGCGTGCCCCCGGCCTCTGTGACCCCCTCGTGGGACGTGTTCCCCCAGCAGACCCTGGAGCCCGTGGACATCGCCGTGCTCGTGCTCTATTTCCTCTTCGTCCTCGCCGTGGGGCTCTGGGTGAGCAGACACTCCCAAAGCTCCCTGTGTGCCCTGCTGGGCTGGAATTGGGCTGCTTTCCCTTGGACTCAGCTGAACAGCTGGAGGGGGCACTTTACAGGTCCTTGTCCTCCCCTCAGCCTGGGAAGTGCCCTCACTGTCCCTGGGGAGGGCCCAGGACTGTGTTAGCCGAGGTTTTGAGAACCCTGCTGAGGAAGAAGCTGGCTGAGTACAAACTGCTGCTAACAATGATGTTTTGTTCATCCAGGAAGGAACTGCTGTCCCATAAATCACCTGTGCTTGTCCACAGGGGTCCTGACAGCAGATTCCTTAAATTCTGAACACTGTCTATGTCTAATTAAGGCAGAAGGACATCCTTTGGCATGGCTTTTGTGACAGCCTGGCTGTCAGGAGGCAGAGGGAATAGCTGCTCCCTTGGATATGGTGCACAGCTCAGAGTATTGCATGGATCATCTCTGGGCAAAGGGGAGTCACACATGCAATGCCCAGCATTCCTCCTGAGTGCTCCTGATACCCAGGATTCTGCAGTTCTTGCCCAAAACCGCTTTCCTTCCCTTCTGCCCTGGAGGGAACAAGTTTGCTCCTTACCCAAAACGTTCCATCAGGGGCCGAGGTGATGGAAAACTGCCTGGGGCAGCCCCAGGATCTCCAGCAGTAGCGTCCCTCAGGAAAGCCTTCTGCTGCAGCCCAGGGCAGCTCGGGGGCTCTGCTGGGCTGTCCCTGGGCACAGCCCTGAGCCCGTGCCCCCCTGTGTGCCCGCAGTCCATGTGGAAGACGCAGCGCAGCACCGTCAAGGGCTATTTCCTCGCCGGGGGACAGATGGTCTGGTGGCCTGTGAGTACCCCTGTCCCCCCTGCCCAGGGCCCTGCGCTGCACCAGCACTTCTGCTGGGGCACTGCCCACGTCTCCAAACAGGAATAAACAACCAGAAGTTGCTCCTGTGCTTTGCCAGCTTCATGTTGGCTTTTCCCCCCGGATTTGAGAGTGCAGGGAGAGGCCCAGCCCAATGCCTGACAAAACCTGGAGGCTTCTGGAGATTTTCAGAATTCCATGGGGGTCCCCAGAACGGACACAGCTTTGTGCTGAGCCTGTGCTGGCTGGGCTGTCTCCTCTGGGCTGGGCTGGTCCCTCAGCAGGTGCTGATGGCACAACCTGACATTTCTACCTGTTCCCCTCACCTTCTCTGCTCACACACAAGAATTGGATGCTTTGGAAGTAGGATAGTCCTGAACATGCCCACAAATGGGCAGTGAATGGTGCAAGAAGCTGGAGAGAGGTGCCAAGGCCACTGAACCTGTGGGGAAAAGAAGAAGGTGGCAGAGGCTGACAAGGATTCCAAGTCCTCTGCAGCCAGGAGTGGGGACAGCTTCCCTGTGCCCCCTGTGCCAGGGCCAGAGCTGATTTCTCCCTTTCCCCAGGTGGGTGCATCCCTGTTTGCCAGCAACGTGGGCAGCGGGCACTTCATCGGCCTGGCAGGCTCGGGAGCTGCCTCAGGCATTGCAGCCACAGCCTACGAGTGGAATGTGAGTGGGCACAGGCAGCCAGAGCCTCCCTGCCCTCCCTGCCATCCCTGCCCTGCCCTCCCTGCCATCCCTGCCCTGCCCTGCCCTCCTGCCCTGGGGGACAGCGGGGCTCAGCCCGCTCCTGCTGCGGGGCTGGCAGTCCCCAGCTGTGGGGACATCTGTGCCAGCCCAGCCCAGCCCGGGGCCCTGCTCTGACCCTTCCCTTCCCTCCCTTTCTCCACAGGGGATGTTCTGTGTGCTGGTGCTGGCCTGGCTCTTCCTGCCCATCTACATCGCCTCGGGGGTAGGTGTGGGCTGGCTGTCCCTGGGGGGGAGGGATGGAGGGATGGATGATGGATGGATGGATGGATGATGGAAGATGGATGGATGGATGGATGAGGGATGGATGAGGGATGATGGATGGATGGATGGATGATGGAAGATGGATGGATGGATGGATGAGGGATGGATGAGGGATGATGGATGGATGGATGGATGATGGAAGATGGATGGATGGATGGATGAGGGATGGATGAGGGATGATGGATGGATGGATGGATGATGGAAGATGGATGGATGGATGGATGAGGGATGGATGAGGGATGATGGATGGATGGATGGATGATGGAAGATGGATGGATGGATGGATGAGGGATGGATGAGGGATGATGGATGGATGGATGGATGATGGAAGATGGATGGATGGATGGATGAGGGATGGATGAGGGATGATGGATGGATGGATGGATGATGGAAGATGGATGGATGGATGGATGAGGGATGGATGAGGGATGATGGATGGATGGATGGATGATGGAAGATGGATGGATGGATGGATGAGGGATGGATGAGGGATGATGGATGGATGGATGGATGATGGAAGATGGATGGATGGATGGATGAGGGATGGATGAGGGATGATGGATGGATGGATGGATGATGGAAGATGGATGGATGGATGGATGAGGGATGGATGAGGGATGATGGATGGATGGATGGATGATGGAAGATGGATGGATGGATGGATGAGGGATGGATGAGGGATGGATGGATGGATTCCCTCCGCTGCTCCTGGCGCTGCTCCCCTGGCCCGGCTGGTGGCAGAGCTGCTGGCAGGGGCTCAGGCTGCCCCCATTCCCTGGCAATGGGCAGAGTCCCTCCATGTCCCGAGCACGGGGATGGGGACTCATGGTTGGTGGGGAGCCCTGTGCAGCATCACAGAGAGCCAAACACCAGCCCAGGGCAGCCCCGGGGCCCTCCTGCTCCTGTCCCACTGCAAACACCCCCCAGCTCCTTGGGGAGCCCCCGGCAGCTCCGGGAGTGCCCCAGGGACTGTCCCACCTTCCCTCACTCCGCTCCCTCCGCAGGTTACGACCATGCCGGAGTATTTGCAGAGACGTTTTGGAGGCAAAAGAATTCAGATATTCCTGGCCATTCTCTACTTGTTCATCTACATCTTCACCAAAATATCTGTGAGTAGGAAAAAAAGAAAAAGGGAAATGGGTTGGATTGAATTCACTTTGGAAATATGTGCTGAGCAGTGAGGCTGAGAAAGGCAAGGAGTGGCTCTGCCTGGATGAGCACAGAAGGGTTTGTGATCAGAACACCCAAGGAAGAGAGGCTCTATTTTTTCAGAACCTCCACAAAAAGGAGTAGCTTCTCTTTTTTTGCTCAGTTAGCACCTGAATGTTTATTGCAGCAGGAGGGAAAGCTGTGTCAGTGTCCTGAGCAATAGTCCATGGAAAGGTGGGGCTGTGAGGGTGGATGTGGTGATTGTTAGATTTTGCACCCCTGGCAGCTCCCCCAGTTTCTCCCCTTTGCACATTTATTGCCTGCGCAGACACCAGGTGCTGTTATGGCAGGATGGAGGAGCTGGGACAGGCTTGGAAGAGAAGTCTTCATTCCTTTATTGCACCTGTTTGAATAAATAACTGAACCAAGCCTTGCACAACAGCTCGGTGGCTGTTCATTAACTGCCAGCCAGGGCACGGATCCATGAAGCAGACAGATCCCTGCTGGGGTTCTTCCTGTCCCAGAGGGGGACACGGTGTCTGACCCTGCCCCTGAACCTCCCAGAGGTTCTGACAGAGGCTTGGAGTGGCAGGACACAGGGAATGGCTTCCCACAGCCAGAAGGCAGGGCTGGGTGGGATACTGGGCAGGAATTCTTCCTGGAAGAGATGTGAGGCACAGGGTGCCAGAGCAGCTGTGGCTGCCCTGGATCCCTGGCAGTGCCCAGGCCAGGCTGGATGGGGCTGGGACAGTGGGAGGTGTCCCTGCCATGGCAGGGGTGGCACTGGAGAGGCTTTAGGGTCCCTTGAACCCAAAGCACTCCAGGGTTGTATGGAGTGGGTGTGAGCGCTGGGGTTCGGATGGCACCCGTGGGGAAGGCTCAGCTTCTCCTCCAGATCAAGGGGCATTGATCCATTTCCATCCGAGGGAATGGCTGACAGCACAGCTCCTGTGCCCGGGGTGTTTCAGCCCTGCCTGCCCTCCCCTGGCCTGTCCTGCAGCTCTCCCATCCCGCAGCATTCTCACCGTGCTGCAGAGCGGGTTGGGCAGGGCTGGGCCCGGCCCTGGGGACACTTCTGCTGATCCCCCTGTCCCCATGGCAGCAGGGACAATTCCCAGGGGCAGCCGGGGAAGGGGCTTTGCAGGGCAGACTCCCCAGCCCAGCCCAGCTCCCCCACCCTGGGCTTGGGGAAAAGAGAAGCTCACCCCACCCTTCGTCCCAGAGCTGGGCACGTCCCCTCTCGTGCCAGCCCTGCCACCCCCCTGCTGTCACCAGCAGCAATGGCAAACTGCTGAGGAATGGCCCTGCTCCTGCTCTGGGGTGGCAGCTGGGGCTGGGGGGCCATGAACAAACCAGGCTGGTCCCAGTAAAGGGGGACTGGGGGCGGAATGGGCACACTGGGAGGGGCTGGGTGGTGCTGCCCTGCAGTGACAGTGACGGGCAGCCGGGGAAGGGGATTTGCAGGGCAGACTCCCCAGCCCAGCCCAGCTCCCCCACCCTGGGCTTGGGGAAAAGAGAAGCTCACCCCACCCTTCGTCCCAGAGCTGGGCACGTCCCCTCTCGCGCCAGCCCTGCCACCCCCCTGCTGTCACCAGCAGCAATGGCAAACTGCTGAGGAATGGCCCTGCTCCTGCTCTGGGGTGGCAGCTGGGGCTGGGGGGCCATGAACAAACCAGGCTGGTCCCAGTAAAGGGGGACTGGGGGCGGAATGGGCACACTGGGAGGGAGTGACAGTGCTGTCCCTGCAGTGACAGTGACAGTGCTGTCCCTGCAGTGACAATGACAGTGCTGTCCCTGCAGTGTGTGACACTGCTGTCCTGCAGTGTGTGACAGTGACAGTGCTGCCCTGCAGTGTGTGACAGTGACAGCGCTGTCCCCTCAGTGTGACAGTCCCTCTGCTGTCCTGCAGGTGGACATGTACGCCGGGGCCCTGTTCATCCAGCAGGCCTTGCACTGGGACCTGTACATCGCCGTGGCCGGGCTGCTGGCCATCACTGCCGTGTACACCGTGTCTGGTGGGTGCTGGGGACACCCTGACCTCACCTGACCAGCACTGACCTGACCCTGCACTGACCAGCACTGACCTCACCTGACCAGCACTGACCTGACCCTGACCTTCCCCAGACCCTGCACTGACCAGCACTGACCCTGACCCTGACCATGCCCCAGACCTTCCCCAAATCCGTGTGTGACACTGCTGTCCCCTGACCCTGACCTTCCCCAGACCCTGCACTGACCAGCACTGACCTCACCTGACCAGCACTGACCTGACCCTGACCCTGACCCTGACCTTCCCCAAATCCTACACTGACCAGCACTGACCCTGACCAGCACTGACCCTGACTCTGACCTTCCCCAGACCCTGCACTGACCAGCACTGACCCTGACCCTGACCTTCCCCAGACCCTACACTGACCAGCACTGACCTGACCTGACCAGCTCTTCCCCAGACCCTGCACTGACCAGCACTGACCTGACCCTGACCAGCACCGACCCTGCCCCTGTCCCTTCCCTGTCCAGACCCTGCCCCTGTCCCTGACCTTCCCCTGCCCCTGCCCTGCCCAGCCAGCTGAGCCATTCAAGTGTCCCAGCCAGGCTGGACAGGGCTTGGGGCACCCTGGGACAGTGGGAGGTGTCCCTGCCATGGCAGGGGTGGCTCTGGGTGGGCTCTGAGGTCCCCTCCCACCCAAGCCATTCCAGGACTCCATGATTTGTGCCATGCACTGTCCTGCCCCACAGCTGCCTGGTTTTGCCATGAGTATGGATATTGGGGTGGGAAAGCAATAGGAAATTCGCCTTTTTAGAAGAAATTGCCAGGTGAGGGTAAGTGAACGCTCCTCAGGGGCTGCCCCAGGTGGGTGCAGGTCGCTCTGCCTCAGGGAGAAGCTCTGGAAGGCATCCTCAGGGTGCATTTCCCCTGTTTCCCGGGGCTCCCGGAGGTGTGAGGGATTTGCAGCACAATGAGCTGTGTAATGCAGAAAGACTCCGGGCTTGGATGCCCTTTCAGGGCTTAGGAGTGGCCAAATGGAAAACAGCCACGCAGAAACCCCAGACAAATAAAGGTTATTCCTTTCCCAGTGCTCACCCCCAGTGATGAAAAATCACATCCCCTTTTTTTTCCCCTCCTCCTTCTTCAGCTTAAGCTTTGTTTTAGAGCTTTTCCATGTTTTTTCCCCCGTAGAACTACTTGAGCTTTTGGCTTGTAGTGACAAAATGGTGACTCACGATGACTCCAATCCTGAGGAATTCCAAGGAGTCACTGGCCAAGGTTGCCCCCAGCCAGGCTCGGGGCTCAGCTTGTGCTGCAGCGCTGTGGCAGAAGAAGCCCAGCTCAGCCCAGGTTGTGCCTCTGTGCTCTGCAGGTGGCCTGGCAGCTGTGATCTACACGGATGCCCTGCAGACCCTCATCATGTTGGTCGGGGCCCTGTCCCTCATGGTCTTCAGTGAGTGCTTTCCTGGGGCTCTGTCACACTGTGGCAGAAGCCTCATCCAGTTAAATACTGGGGAGAAATTAGGGAGAAATCCTTCCCTGGGAGGGTGGGCAGGCTCTGGCACAGGGTGCCCAGAGAGGTTCTGGCTGCCCCTGGATCCCTGGCAGTGCCCAGGCCAGGCTGGACAGGGCTTGGAGCACCCTGGCACAGTGGAAGGTGTCCCTGCCTGGCAGGGTGGCACTGGGTGGGCTTTAAGATGGCACTGGGTGGGCTTTAGGGTCCCTCCAACCCAAACCACGGCAGGATTCTGTGATTCCACAGGGGAGGCAGCACCTGCTCCAGCCAGCAGCGTCTGCCCTTCCCCAGCCCAGAGGGAGAACCGAGAGCTGCTGGTTTTTAAGGAATTCTAGTGGAGCATCACCCACAGAGGCTGGAATCAGAGTCCTGACCTGGGGGGGGTGCAGTAACAGCTTCTCACGACCCTTTCCAGGTTTTATTGAAGTTGGTGGCCTTGAAGGTTTACAGGCAAAATACTTTGATGCCATTCCCAGCATCCGCAGGGAGAACAGCAGCTGTGGCCTGCCCAGGGAAGATGCTTTCCACATCTTCCGAGACCCCGTCACCTCTGACCTGCCCTGGCCAGGAGTCCTGCTGGGAATGACCATCCCATCCCTGTGGTACTGGTGCACAGATCAGGTGGGTCACTGCTCGTTCCTGTGGCTGGGTGGGTCCCGTTACAAACCTGGGGGTTGCCACCTCACCTGGACTGATTTTCTGGGGGGGGATCCTCAGTAAAATCTTATTTTACCATCAGCAAAATCAGAGGGTTAAGTCCTAAAGAAGGAAATATTGATATTAAATATATTTATATTAAATCTATTCTATTAATAGGAATATGTTATATTATATTATATTATATTATATTATATTATATTATAAATATATTGAAATATTATATTATAAATATATCGATATTAAATATTATATTATACTACACTATAAATATATTGATATTAAATATTATATTATATTATATTATATTATATTATGTTATAAATATATTGATATTAAATATATTATATTATATTATATTATATTATACTACATTATAAATATATTGATATTAAATACTTATTATTGATATTAAATCCAACTAAGTATTAGTAACCACCTCCGTGGAAAAAGGGATAAGAATGTGTTTGTGTGTTAACCCCAGCCTATAAAGAAGTCTTTTGTTTGTTTGTTTGCTTTTTAACTTGATCCTTTTGTTCCTTGTGAACCACCTGTGGATTTCTTCTCACCTTTCCCGGGGTCTGGCTCCCATCAGAGCCAGGGTCCTGCAGCCCCAGAACAGCTCCTGCTGCTCCAGCTGTGCTTTCTTGCTCTCTTATTTGACTGTGCCCATTTCAGCTCTGTTCTGCTCCCTGGCCAGGCTCCTCCACGGGAGCAGGAAGAATGGAAATCCTGGGCTGGGTAGGTGGTGGCCAGGCCCGGCAGCACAGAGTCCCCCCAGGCTGGGCTGGGATGGCACAAAGCAGTGCCTGTGTTTCTGAAAGGAGCCAGGATCCAAAGCAAAGGCTCCAGAGGCACAGCCAGGCTCTGTGATCAGCCTGTGAGACTCGCAGAGTTCAGTGGAGATCAAAGTCAGGATCCTCCATCCCAGCCAGCTCCTGCTGCTGGCAGCCAACCAAAGCCGTTCCTTCATTCCTAGGTCATTGTTCAGAGGTCCCTCGCTGCCAAAAACCTCTCCCACGCCAAAGGAGGCTCCTTGATGACCTCCTACTTGAAGATTTTGCCCCTCTTTATGATGGTAATGCCAGGCATGATCAGCCGGGTTCTCTTCCCAGGTAAGTGCTGGGGGAGATCTCCTCCCTGCCTCTGGCTGGGCCAGCTGCAGAGCTGGAGAAGCCTTTCCTCAACCAGGGGGAGGCTCCAGTGCATCCAATGCTCAACACAAGAAGAAATGTCCTTCCAGTTAGGAGCTGGAGGGTGCAGATCCTGCCAGAGCAGCCCCAGACACCCCTGTGTCACTGCTGGAAGCCCCCCAGGCTCTCCAGGATCTCCCTTAGAAAGCACTTTACAACACTCAGCAGAGGAACTTCAGAGACACTGCTGAGCCTGGCAATGCTGCCTCTCACTCCACGCTGCTTCTTTCAGATCTGGTGGCTTGTGCAGACCCAGAAATTTGCCAAAAAATCTGTGGCAACCCCTCTGGCTGTTCTGATATTGCTTATCCCAAGCTGGTGTTGGAGCTCCTGCCCGTAGGTAAGAGTCTGGTGATGGTTCTGGCACTGGTGGGGCTGGCATGTGGCAGCCACAGGCAGCTGGGAGGGAAGCTGGGAGAGGCACTGTCATTTAGTGGGGTTTGTGTGGGGTGAACCTATCACTGTCATTTTGAATTGGAGCTAAAACCAGTTTTAAAAGTCTGTTCTAGCCCACAGAAGAGCTCGAGGCCACCCTGCATCGGAGCCTCTGAGAGTTCCTCAGGGTGGCTGTGCCTCTCCTCGTTCCCAGGGCTCAGGGGCCTGATGATGTCCGTGATGATAGCAGCCCTCATGTCCTCCCTGACTTCCATCTTCAACAGCTCCAGCACCATTTTCACCATGGACCTCTGGAAACACTTCAGGCCCCGCTGCTCCGAGTGGGAGCTGATGATCGTGGGCAGGTGGGGAGAACTGGGATGAGCTGGATGGGAGCCTGGGTGCCAGGCACAGCTGGGCACAGCTGCTGAGCTGACAGCACGCTGCCCAGCTGGGGCAGGGCTGCGGCGGAGCCTGTTGGGTGCTGGGACACCTCGGTCACCCCGAGCAGCAGGACCTGAGCCGACCTGAGCTCTGTCTCCCCCAGGGTGTTTGTGCTGCTGCTGACCGTGGTGTCCATCCTGTGGATCCCCCTGGTGCAGGCTGGCCAGGGCGGGCAGCTCTTCATCTACATCCAGTCCATCAGCTCCTACCTGCAGCCGCCCGTGGCCGTGGTCTTCATCCTGGGCTGCTTCTGGAGGAGAGCCAACGAGAAGGTACGGGCTCTGCCGGCCCGGGAGCAGCCCTGCAGCCTGCTGGGCTCTGCTGCAGCACAGAATTCCCTCCTTTCCCTCCTCAGGGTGCCTTCTGGGGGCTGCTGGTGGGGCTGCTGCTGGGCGCCGTGCGCCTGGTGCTGGATTTCGCCTTCCCCGAGCCGCGCTGCGGGGAGCCCGACGGCCGGCCCGGCGTGCTCAAGTACATGCACTACCTCTACTTCTCCATGGTGCTGGGGGCCATCACCACCCTCACCGTGCTCCTGGTCAGCCTGGCCACCGAGCCCCCGGCCCCCGAAATGGTGCGTGTCCCCCTCCCCGTGCTCCCTTTGTGAGCCCCTGTTCGTTCTGGGTTTATGGCACAGCTGGAGCAGTGACCCCTCCTCTGCTGCAGCCCCTTTGCTGCTCTTTCTGATTTGGGGCCCATAAATCCCACCCTGGACACTGGTCAAGGGTAGATTCCAGCAAGAGCTGTTGCTAAGTTCAAGCCTGTGTGTTTCATCCATGACAAATCAGCCTTTCCCCCTCTATTTTCCAAGAAACTCCAGCTTCTGGGTCATCTTTACCAACTCTCTTACTAACTTAGCGAGGAAACGCTTTTAGTCACAGAAAGAGAAACCCCGTGCAGGCAGCACCTCTCCTCCAGAGCAGGTTTGTGCCAGTTGGACTGTTTTCAGGAGATGCCCTGGTGCTGAGGCTGCAGGAAGGCCCCGAGGGCAGAAGGGAGGGGCAGGGGGGCTGCAGAGCTCACACAGCAGCTCATCCTCTTGCTTCAGGACAGGACTAACCCTGAACTCAGAAATGCCCAGCAAGGGAGGTGCCTGCAGGTGTGTGACCAGGCCAGAGCTCACCTGCCCTCCCTGGAACAGCTTTCCTCATCTGCAGCCTGAGTCTTTCCAGCTTTATGTGGTGCTCATCCCTCTCTATCCACACTGCCATGGAGAACATCCCTCTATAATGAGTCCTTTAGATATTTGAAGGAGAAACCCCCGGCTCATCCCTCTCTATCCACACTGCCATGGAGAACATCCCTCTATAATGAGTCCTATAGATATCTGAAGGAAAAAAAACCCCATTTCCCACCTGTTTCCTCTTCTCTCAGCACCCCCACTTCAAGGCAGCCCTCCCTGGCCACAATTTCTGTTCTTTTTGCCCTGAGCTGTCCTGCTGTGCCCAGGGACAGTCCCACACCGAGCTGTCCCCTCGGCACACACCTTACAGACTCCTTTTTGTGGGGTGGAGGAGGAGCAGCTGCCGTGTCCCAGAGGTCAGCACTCGGTGCTGCCGGGGCAGGAGGGGGGGTTTCGGCCGGGCAGCCCCAGCAGATCAGCCCTGAGCAGCGCTCTTCATGCCAGCAGATCAGCCGGCTCACCTGGTTCACCCGCGGGGATGCTCCGGCCGGGCAGGAGGGGGCAGCCCCCGGCCCCGCCGCTGCCAAGGAGCCGCTGCAGCTGGAGCTGAGCCCCGCTCCCGAGAGCTGCGAAGGGAACAAAGGTCAGTGACCCCCTGCCCGACGGCCTGCAGGACAGGGAACCTTCAAACGCCTTCCTCTGGGACTCTGGAGCTTCAGGGTGTGCTGGCGGAATGATGGAGTTAAAGAACAGAGAATCTGTGGAGTGGGGTGGGACCCCCAGCATCACCCAGCCCAGCCCTGCCCTGCCCAGACCCCCAGCAATCCCACCCTGGCATCCCTGAGCGCTGGCCAAAGGCTCCCGGAGCTCCGGCAGCCTCGGGCTGTGCCCATTCCCTGGGGAGCCCGGGCAGTGCCAGCAGCCTCTGGGGCAGAGCCTTTCCTGATCTCCAGCCTGAGCCTCCTTGCCTCCTTGTCCTGTCCCTGTCCCAGAGCAGGGCTGGGAGCTGCCCCTCGGGAGGAGCTGCAGAGCACGGCGAGCTCTGAGCTCCATCTCCTCCTGTCCAGGGCAGAAAGGCTTTACCTGACATTTTACCTAAGCAGGAATTATTTCTTTTCCTGCTCTGGATGGCGTTACAACAGCTTGAAACCAAGGGGCTGGGTGGGATACAGAGCCATGGCCACTGTCCTGCTGCCAGAACTGGCTGGAAAAGTGGAGCTGGAGGAAAACACAGCCATGTTGATGAAATTCCCTTTCTGTTTTCCAGCGGTGTTCTCTGATCAGCTCTAGCAGCAGGGAGAGCCCAGAGCCCTTGGCAGAGCAGTGGGGGAGGACGTGCCTGTTTCAAACTGGTGCCTGTGAGGCGTGGGCAGAGCTCCCCGTGCATTCTGCAGCCGTGATTCCCATCCCTTGTTTTTGCCAGGCTCAGCCCCAGTTTATGTAACGGGTCAGCTTTGCTGCTGTCCCTTTGATCTGTGACAAGCTCTTGTGAGTTAATGAGTTGTGGGGCAGCTCCCCTGCTGCTGGGAAGTCTCACCCTTGCTGGACACCAGCGTTGCCTTCCCACGTTTAATGATGTGTGTCCCGAGGCACTGGGGAGCCCAGCTTTGGGGTGTGGCAGGGATGGACCAGACTCACCTGAGGGTCACCAAGCAGCTGCAGCTGGCTTTTTGGGTTTGCTTTGTCGTTACCACGGCTGCTGGGAAGGGCAGAAGCTGAGCTCAGGGCTGCAGGGAGGATGGAACTGGAGGGTGCCAGTGCTCAGCAGAGAGCAGGGCTGTTCCTGCAGCCTGTTCCTCACCCCTCACCTCCCGTTGCAGGTGCAGCCGAGGCCAAGGGCAGCTCCAAGCTGCTGAGCACCTTGCTGTGGCTCTGCGGGATGGAGCGCAGGCAGGAGGCTGCCGAGAGCCTGCCCAGGGCCGAGCCCCTGCCCGTGGTGTCCCTGGAGGAGGAGCCGCTGGTGAAACACGTCCTGAACATCAACCTGCTCCTGTGTGTGTGTGCTGGGGTCTTCCTCTGGGCCTACTTCGCATAGCCAGGGGGCTGCCAGCGCCCACAGCATCATCTAATCCTAACTGGTGTAAATATTAATGAGTAGCAGAGGGTTAATGTAATTCTTAATGCTTTCTAAATTTTATTTCTTTATTTAAGACATTTTAAAGACATAATATTTTCCTTATTTCTAATGGGGGCCTGGCTGTGCCCACTTGGCACTGGCACCGTCAGATCCCACCCGGCGCCAACCAGCTGAGGAAGGTTGGTTTGGTTATTTTAAATATTTAATTTTGCTCTTTGGCCTTAGAGCACTGCCTGGAATTCAGGAAGCCTGGAATCTCTCCTATTTATGCCTCTATAACCAGCTACCACCACTTGGGTTCCCTCTGGTTCAGCTCCTCTGGCCCTGAGGGACAGGAGTGACACCTCGAGTGCCAGGGGCTGTTCTCTGGGCTCTGGCGTGCCTCTGGCTCAGCTGTGCCCATTCAGCTCCTTCCCTGTGTGCAGTGAGTGCTGATGGGCCTGTCTGGGACCTCTGACATCCAAACAACACCAGCACCAGCACCCGGCGTGGGACCTGCCCCACAACTGCTGCTGGGGCCACCTGCAGGACCTGAACCAGCCAAACCCAGCAGGTGTGCCAGGGCAGAGGTGCCCAGGGCCAGCCCCCATGGCCTGGGCAGCCACAGCCCTTCTGGGAGTGCCCCAGCAGAGAGCCCTGGGCTGGGGACCACCAGTGGCCCTGGGGACCACCACTGGCCCTGGGGACCACCAATGGACCCGGGCCTCGTGCAGCTGCAGAGAAACATTAAAGAGTGAGAGCTGGTCCCTGCCTGCCTGGAGTCTGTGGGGATGGGGGGGATGCCAAGACCTCTGGACCCCACACTTCTGGAGCCCCCCAGCTGCCCTGGCTCCCTGCAGAGCCTGCTCCCCTCCCCAGAATTCACTAAACACTGCAGGGTGGGAGCAAAGCTCATCCCTGCAGAGCCTGCTCCCCTCCCCAGCATTCACTAAACACTGCAGGATGGGAGCAAAGCTCACCCCTGCAGAGCCTGCTCCCAATCCCAGCCTGCTGGGGCTCCCCAGAATTCACTAAACACTGCAGGATGGGAGCAGAGCTCATCCCTGCAGAGCCTGCTCCCCATCCCAGCCTGCTGGGGCTCCCCAGAATTCACTAAACACTGCAGGATGGGAGCAAAGCTCACCCCTGCAGAGCCTGCTCCCCATCCCAGCCTGCTGGGGCTCCCCAGAATTCACTAAACACTCCAGGATGGGAGCAAAGCTCATCCCTGCAGAGCCTGCTCCCAATCCCAGCCTGCTGGGGCTCCCCAGAATTCACTAAACACTGCAGGGTCAGAGCAAAGCTCACCCCAGAGCTGCCAGCCCTCCGTGGGCAGGCAGTGACAGCAGGCAGCAGCAGGCAGGAGCAGCTGGGCACCTGCAGCAGCTCACAGAGTCAGGAAATGCTCTTGTTAAAGCACATAAAGGGAACTGGCACTGGGGGATCCTTCCTGAGCCTGTGAAACGCTGCTGGAAACCCTGGGGGAGAGAGGCACTGACAGCCTGGGGGATAAACATCAGCATCAGTCACAGGACTGGAGTCTGTGGCTCTTCAAACTGAACCTGGAGTTACAAAGATTTGTTACAGGGCTGCTGTGGTGATGGAGGAAGCTCCCACAGGGCTCCCACTGAAGTCCTAAAGGGAAAAGCAAGCTGAGCAGCCAGTGACTCCAATCCAGGGGATCACTGTGACCTTCAGTGGAACTTCACTGTCACTCAGTGCCAGCAACAAAACTAGAATAAAGATGCCTTCAGTTGACAAAAAACAATCTTTAATTTTATAAATGTTCACTCAACTTCTGAATCCAAACAGCTGTTTCAAAGTTCTTTCAAAACTCAACCGTTTTCAACAAAAGCACAAACCCCATTTCCACGGTTTCCTCGTGAAACAGTTGCCAGTTGCACATGAACAAAGCAGGTTAATACAAATAACTATGAAATCAGGGTAAGTACTGATCCTAAGTAGCAATGAAATGATTAAAGAGACAGAAGTTCCTCCTACAGCACGACAGTCCTTCAAGGCACTGGATGCATCCACAGTTCCACAGGTGACTGAGAACCAGCAGTCACCACCAGCACTGGGGCAGGGGTTTGGTTCATGGCTTGGGGGGAATCTGCAGCAGATCCGAGAGGGAATGTCCCTTGGGAGGCAGCTCCTGCTACGGGCTAAGAACTACAAAGAACCTCTAACCGAGCCGTGGCAAGGATTATTTCCGTAATACAGACATGCACTTTAAATAACTAACCTTCTGCTTCTTATTCTTTTGGAATTTCTGCTAACACCACCTGTATCAGCACTGACCACGCTTCCTAGGCGAGTTCCTGCAGGAATTCATTCCTTCCATCCAAGGGTTTGAAAACCGTTGTCCAGACCCAGATCATTAAACTTCTTCTGAGGGCGAAAGCGGAGCGCGGCCAAAGGTTGGGCTCGATTTCCTCAGAGGTCTCCTCCAACCTCGGCCACCCTGGAGCTCAGTGTCCCCACGAGGCCCCAGGGCCAGCTCTGCCCGGCCGTGCCACGCTGCAGAAGAAGCCTTTCCCTGTTAGGTCTGTGGTTTTCCCCCCGGAGAGGAGCCAGGGAAGCCGGAGCGCTGCTCACAGCGCCGTGCTCTCCGTGTCATTGTCAATGTCCAGCAGCAGGTGGTTGTGCAGCTCTCTGCCCGCCAGCTCTGCAGGAAGCTCTGGAGGAGGGTTTGCAAGTGGCTCTGGAATACTGGAATTAGAGTCTGCACAAAAAGGGAACAGCAAGTTTAGCAGCCGGGCCAGGGCCAGCTCACTCAGTCGGGGCTTCCTGGGCATCTCCTTAGACAGAGAAGGGAAAGCAGAGATCAACGAAGGCTCTGGGCACGGAGCTGGCCCCCGTGGGCACACAGGGCTGAGCCCAACTGAGCAGCTGGGATTGCTCCTCCTACAGAGCCTGGGCCAGTCCTGGGCACAGGAACAGCAACCCAGTTCTTCCTGAGGGAGGGAGGGCACCGAGCCTGACTTAGGATCAGATTCCTCAATGCCCCTGGGGAGCTACTCTGGACTTTCATGTCAAAACACTCAGCAAAATAAACTGGCACCTAAATCATCCACGAGGGAACGCTGCCTGTGACTCTGAGAAGGAACAGGAACAGGGATGGTGTCAGAAGGAGGCAGGAGTTATTTACACCAAGTGCAGATTAAACCTCTCTCCTGTGTAAACAGGGCATGTCATGGTCTTTGCCTCTTCTGAGGAGAGGATTTTGTTCAAGCCAAGGTGTCAAAAAGGGATCTCTGCTGCATCTCTGGTGACTGACTGCCCTGGCAGCTAGAATTATCAGACCAGAAAAATCCCTAGCAGCTCAAAAAAGGCAACTGAAAATCTTGTCAGGATTTTGTTACAATGTGCCATGACATCCCTTAACTGCAGTCCAGCAGCTGCTCCACATAGGAAGTAATTTAGATCACTTAAATCAACAAAAAATCCAAATAAATGCCTTGTTTTCAAGCACAGGAGGTGCAGACTGGGACTCATAACTCAAGCATGAAATCCTGGAGTTAACCCAGAAGTTACTGCAGAAAAGCTCAGGTTGAAGGTTTCTGAGCTGAATGACCTGGAAGAGGGGAAAGCAGCCCCTGAGTGCAGCCTGCCCTGCTGCCGAGCCCCCCAGCCTGCAGGATCTGGGATCTGCACGGAGCAGCTGCAACCCCACCCTGCCCTGGTACTGAGCACGAGTTCACCACGGAACCCCAGCATGGCTTGGGCTGGAAGGCACCTTAAACCCCATGCCAGCCCACCCTCTGCACGGGCAGGGACACCCCCAGCTGCTCTGGGAGGCTGTGGCACGGGACAGGGCGGTGACACTGGTGGCAGCAGTGACAGCAGCGGGCTCTGCGTGGGCACAGCAGCTCTGGGCTTCTGAACAGACAGCACAGGGGGAGAGCGGCCAGGAGACAGCAAGAGCTTCACATTCTGCTCTCCGGGGCTTAGTGGGTTAATGGGAGCAGCAGCAGCCCGTGTCTGGCCATGCCAGGGACACACGCAGCACTGGGTGGGGGGGGTTAGTCGTTAGCGCACACATCATTAGCAATTAGCAATTAGCAACAGTGTCGGCCAATCAGGGGCCTTTTCCTTACCATTGCACTTGCCAATACAGTTCCTACTGAATGCTGGTCAAACATCTGGATTATTTAATAAAACCTTTGATTAGAATATTCTAGGGCTTCTTACTTGAACACCCTAAACAGAATTTGAGGCATTACTAAAGCCCAGTGCATGGACAAGGGAGTCAAGAGTATCCTGAGACAGTTCAGAATTCCTGCTCAGGGGTCATTATGAGGATTGCTGGCACCTTAATTTTGTCCCCTCATTCCACTCGTTAAGGTTCAAATTAAAACCAGCAGCTGCACGTTGTGAATTAGTGAGTCTGTAAGTGCTTTTATGTGCAGGTGTGAATATTAGAGCAGACACTCTTATGTGACAGGTGGTGGTGTTAATTCAGATTATTAATCCTTTAAAAACACATTGATCTGGGAAAGGTGGATGCTTTAGCATGGAGGTGAGCCTGAGAGTCACTTCAACCCCTCCCCAAGGGGATTTTAGCTAAGCAGGCTGGATCTTCTAGGTCCCTTCACCAGTTTTGGAGAGAACCCTCCCTCAGCAGCTTTCCTTTCCTGCTCTCCTGCGTGGCAGCTCCGTGCTGTGCTCACAGCACACACCTGGGCCAATCTGCTCTGCTTGGCAGTCCCCTCTGGCAGGTGCCTGCCGTGCCCAATTCTCATTAAGAGCCCCAGCTGGATGTTAATTACAAGATGAGGATTTAGCCCATTAAACTGGGGTAAAACAAACCCTCCCTGTCTGCTACCATTGAAGCAATTTCCTCAGAAGCAGGAAAACCCTAAAGCTCTTAAAGAAAATAAATATGGTCAAACTATGAAACACTTGGAAATTTAGATTAAGTCTTTCCTTGAAGTTTGCCTCATTAGCACAGCTGCTGCTGCTGCTAAGTTCATTGT